ATTCTCCTTAGGCCAGAAAGATCAGCACCTGGAGAAAGACACCTAGCTGTCTCTCTCACCCAGTTGCTGGCTTATTAGTAGAAGACTAATGCCGACTGCATTCAAGTATGGTCTTAGGGAGGAAAGGCAATGCCCCCAGCACCCTGTCTGGAACTGACAAATGCTCATTATGTTGGAAAGCAGAGAGCGAGGGATGGGCGCCCCAACAAGTAAGTTTGGCCCTGGGGGGGAAGGGAGAGGAGGGGCAATGGGCCATTTGCAAGGACAGGGCTCCCTGGCCACATCCAGTCCTGGGGCAGGGGAGGAGGGGTCTCTGCGTGAAGACAAGGTGTCAAAAAGAAGGACTGGACCTTAGCACAGCTTCTCACAACTATAGGGCTTGTGGGTTTTTGAAATTCCAAACTAATGGTACTAACACCTTTTTGGATGTTACTGTTCTTTTTCGCAGGGCAGGGGCACTGTACTGGGTTATTCAAAGGATGTGAATAAATTTCTTTTCATGGCAATCCACTGCCTTACATGGGCGGGCGGGCGGGGGGGCAGAGGTCACCCCGCTCTGCAGGCAACATCCAAAAGTCAGGAGAAAATGAAAATGTTACCTTTCTCTGGGGACTACCTGCCTCTCTCTCTCTCTCTCTCTCTTTTTTTAAACCTACGATCTTAGAGAATTCCCTACAGGTTAATTAAAAGCTTTACTTCCCAGCCTCTGGTGTGTTGTGCTAAATATATTTGTTGGTTTGGACGTCAACAGCAACTGATATTTGTGAATAGCTTATGCAACATCAAAGAGTAAAAGATGTCACAGTGAGTAACTGCCTCACCTTCAGTGCTTATTAAAATAATCGAATTCTACATAAGAAGCACTTTATTAAAAAGCTCCAGGTGGGGGCGCCTGGGGGCTCAGTCGGTTAAGTGTCTGCCTTTGGCTCAGGTCATGATCCCGGGGTCCTGGGATCGAGCCCTGTATCGGGCTCCCTGCTCGGCAGGAAGCCTGCTTCTCCCTCCCCTACCCCCCTGCTTGTGTTCCCTCTCTCGCTGTCTCTCTCTCTGTCAAATAAATAAATAGAATCTTTAAAAAAAATTTTTTTTAATTTAAAAAAGCTCCAGGTGAATGAATATATTCAAACAATGCAGACTTTTAAATAAAGCTCTCCTCTATTCACATTTGTGTATTAGAATATGATCACGCATTGACTGGGTCAAGAGTAACTGACAAATATTACGTGATTAAAAATGATTATATCTAAGTCTTTGATAGAATCTTCTCTCTCGGGGCACCTGGGTGGCTCAGTTAGTTAAGCATCTGCCTTCAGCTCAGGTCATGGTCCCAGGGTCCTGGGATGGAGCCCCGAATTGCTCTCCCTGCTCGGCGGGAAGCCTGCTTCTTCTTCTCCCTCTGCCCCTCCTCCCCACTCATGCCCTCTCTCCCTCTCTCTCTTAAATAAATAAATAAAATCTCTAAAAATAAATAAATAATTTTAAAAAAGAATCTTCTCTCTCTCTCTCTCTCTCTCTCTCACACACACACACACACACACATACATACACAACCACCACCCCAGATAAGAGGCTGAACAGATTCATTCATCACACTCTATCATATACATTAAAAAGAAGAATCAGGGTATTGGTCAAGAGGTTCAGTCTCTTAAGCCAAAATTCTAACCTTCGTTCGGATTATAAATCTGCTGCTGCCGCTGATGACGATAATTTTAAAAAAAGTTTCAAGACAAAAACAGAAATTTTCAGGGTGCCTGGGTGGCTCAGTTGGTTAAGCGACTGCCTTCGGTTCAGGTCATGATCCTGGAGTCCCGGGATCGAGTCCCACATCGGGCTCTCTGCTCAGCAGGGAGTCTGCTTCTCCCTCTGACCCTCTTCCCTCTCGTGCTTTCTATCTCTCATTCTCTCTCTCTCTGAAATAAATAAATAAAATCTTTAAAAAAAAAAAAAAACAGAAATTTTCATTAAAATGCCCTTTAAGGGGCACCTGGGTGACTCAGTCGGTTAAGTGTCCAGCTCTGGGTTTCGACTCAGGTCAGGATCTCAG